AATGAACACTTCCACCCTATACTAACCATGACACTGAACTACTGGTCTTTCCGTTACAAACCAAGGACATTAAATGAGCTGCATTTTCCTATTTTGTTTTACTTTTTTAACTGCAAAAGAGTGTGGTTTCAAAACAAGCCTGTAAACCTTTTGAACAATGCTTCATTATGAAATTTGAAATTTTGCTTACACGTGTCATTCTACAGTTATACATCAGGAAAAAAAAATAAAGATTTTCTAAAAGTATTCTGGAATTGCTTAACAAAGAGCGACTTCAGAAGCAGATCTCAAAATAAGTTGGTAACTATGTTTATATATTAAAAAAAAAAGATTGGCATGAAAGAAAGATGAAGCTAAAGGCCCACACATGATTTTCCATAGTTAGCCAAGCTTATTATGTACTGTTGAAGTTCTATGACATACTTCTGTTTTAGGCATCCAGAATGCATTAAAAATTTAGTTAAGGTGGTGACAGATTGAATATAATTACCTGAGTCAAACATGGGTTAAAATTACTCATGGCACCATAACCACACAGAGAATAAAATGTGAAAAGACCCAAAGGCACAGTTCCTTCACTGCTCTTTAACTATATTGTTACGTGATTGCTGACAAATTAAGAAAAAAAAATCAATTTATATTATTTTTAAAAAGTGGGCTGCTTTTATTTTCTCAGGTAGTTTACACTAGCATTACAGGGACATTTTTCCTAAGCAAAAGGTACAGTTTTCCTATAGTGGTGCCCAATAAATGTGTTTCCTGGAGGAGGATATCCAAGTTCATTCTCTAAGATAAATATCCTGTCCAAGAACTATTCAGTGTGGTTTCCCAAATTTTTTTATCTAAGCTGGAATATATATAACCTGGGCTTAATACCTCAGGTCCATGTTGTATTCTGTATTACTTGTTCTCAACAACGAAAGCATATAGATTCAGCAGCCAGTCCTCAACGACCATTAAGCGGAGCAATTAAACAGTGCATAAAACTAGAACTAAGATCATAGAATAGAATCACAGAATGGTTTGGGATGGAAGGGACCATTAGAGGTCATCTAGCCCAACCCCCCTGTGGTGAGCAGGGAACACCTTCAACTAGACCAGGTTTCTCAGAGCCCCGTCTGACCTGGCCTTGAATGTTTCCAGGGATGGGGCCTCCACTACCTCTCTGGGCAACCTGTTCCAGTGTTTTACCACCCTCATCATAAAATGTCTTCCTTATATCCAGTCGAAATCTACCCTCTTTTAGTTTAAAACAATTACTCCTTGTCCTGTCACAACATGCTCCACTAAAAAGATTTTCCCCATCTTTCCAACAGGCCCCCTTTAAGGCTGCAATAAGGTGTCCCTGCAGCCTTCTTTTCTTCAGGCTTAACAGCCCCAAATCTCTCAGCCTTTCCTGCTAGGAGAGGTGTTCCATTCCTTGGATAATTTTTGTGTCCCTCCTCTGGACCCACTCCAACAGGTCCATGTCTTTCCTGTGTTGCGGGCTCCAGAGCTGGACGCAGGACTCCAGGTGAGGTCTCACCAGAGGAGAGTAGCGGGGCAGAATCCCCTGCCTTGACCTGCTAGCCACATTCCTTTTTATGCATCCCAGGATAAGGTTGGCCTTCCGGGCTGCAAGCACACATTGATGGCTCACGTCCAGCCTTTCACCCACCAGCACCCCGAAGTCCTTCTCCTCAGGGCTGCTCTCAGTCCCTTCATCCCGCAGCCCTTATTGACACAGGGGGTTGCCCCGATCTCTGTGCAGGACCTTGCACGTGGCCTTATTGAACCTCATGAAGTTCTTGCAGGCCCACTTCTCGAGCTTGTCCAGGTCCCTCTGGATTGCATCCCATCCTTCTGGCATGTTGACTGCACTGTTCAGCTTGGTGTCATCTGCGGACTTGCTGAAGGTGCACTAGATCTCACAGTCTAAGTCATTGATGAAAGTGTTGAACAGCACTGGTCCCAGTACGGACCCCTGAGGGACCCCACTTGTCACCGGTGTCCATTTGGACATTGAGCTGTTGACCACTACGCTCTGGCTCTGACCTTCCAACCAATTCCTTATCCATCGAGCAGTCCACCCATCAAATCTCTCTGATTTAGAGAGAAGGATGTCGTAGGGGACCGTGTCAAAGGCTTTATAGATTACATTTCCTGTAATGGTAATGATACAGTATAAGCGTATGTGGCAGTGCAGAACCAGATATCAAGAGTGCTGAGTTCTGCATATCTGGTTGTCAAGAAAACAGGCAATTCTACAACCCAATGGCATTTGTTAGTGTTATATACCAAATCTGAACATGTCTCCAGCTATCGTATTAGTTCTGGTCAGCAACAGTGTTTCTCCACATGGTTCAATTATCTGATTTCTACACAGTGTTAATCAGTTTTTCCACAGAAGTGTTCACTTTAATTTGATGGACTATCCAACAATGTATATTTTCTTAGAAAACTGTTTGATTTTGTGGACTATCCATTCTCAGATGTACCGTTCATCTGGATCATCCACCAAGGTATATTTTTCTTCAGATGAGATTAACATTTTTTTAAGAACATTAATTAACCATTTGTGATTTATTTATAGCCTGAAGGCCTCTAGTTTCATTATGTCCTTACACTTTCAATGCTTCTGCTACCGTTTTGCAATCATAATTTTTAGAACCCTTGGTAAAATCCCAAGATTTTTTTCAAATGTCTTTAAGTTTTGCTTTCCTGGTTAAGTAGCTAATGGTTTATTAGCACAATCCATCCATGCATACCTCCTTGGTTTAGGTCCATTAAATGTTTCATTCCACAAAGCAGCAATGACCTGAAAGACATACATAAGTCATAAAATATAAAACATGGCAGATGGAAATAATGGTCTAGTAATGCTTGCTAAGAGTATCTACTACTTATGGCAGTATTTCTAGAACTTAAGCAAATTTACTTTACAGTAGGCACTGTGACAGTCATTGTACTTTCTAAAATTTGCTATTCAGCAGAAGGTTAGTGTGTTCTTCCCAGTGTTTGTGGGTCTGAATCTTCTGTGACTTCTCCCAGCTTTTAATAAGATTAATTTTACTAACTTGGAAAAGGTTGATTTAATTTCTTCTATATGAGAAAGATCTTGTGGTCTATATCCCTGTCGACTGAGGTGCACAGCGTGAGATGCTGTAACACTCTAGCTGAGAACACCACTACATCAAAGAGAAGGATGTTTCTAGCCTGTACTATAGTCTGTCTCTTTGTATATGACATTTCTAAAACCATCAATAGATCATAAGCTTACACTGTTATTGTTGAGCATAAGAACATCCAAAGTTCCCATTAGTCTTAAGGGATACAAAGTATGTTTCGTATCTGTTGGTAAAAGATATCTGTTCTTTCCATGAGCTTTTTAAGTGCTGCTGAATGGAAAGATGAATTCCATCATTACTTGAGAATGATATTTTGAAGGTTACCTCTGTACCTATGTACCAACAACAGTTGAGTATGTGGTTACTGGGTGGAAGAAATTTATTGGATCAACCTTCTGTTTGAGCAGTGAAGAATAATTTCATTGCTTGGAAGATTGTACACTGGCATTTTTCTTGCCCTTCATTCTGTCAAATTGGAAGCAAAGCACAAAGAGCTTTCAAAAATTTTGTGTGGAGTCTCTTGTATCTTCATGGAGTCTTGAGTCTTTATCACACATAATTTTTTGATACTCTTCTTCCATGGTTGCTCACATCTAATTTTTGCAGCCGGATTTTTTCTGGCAGTACTGTGAAATTGTCACAGTAGTTAATATGCCACTTGTCACTCTCAAGGCACTGTTTATTTCTCTGGATATCAGTTTTATATAAAAGCTGCTATACAAAAAAAGACAATAAAATACTTTATGGGAGACAGACAGACATACAAGAAGAAGTATTTATGTTGAAATTCTGGAGTATGTAAATTGCTGGCCCCACTTCTACTGGCTAGCTTCTGCTTTATACGTATGGAAAATTTCAAGCTTTTTTTTGGCATTCTCTGGAAACCACTCTCGATGGACTTAGTGCCTCTAGGCACTAGCACTACATTAACAAGTCATACTGTAGGAATATACTATGAATTGGATATTCTCCTTTTCTTGGCTGGTCATATGGAGAAATGTGAAAACATTGGGAGGTAGGTTTTGTGGTGGTCTGGGTTTTTTCTCTAGTAAAGATAGTAGTATGTTTTACTACTTTGTGTAGTTTTTGAAAAGTCTCTGTAGGAGTGCAGATCCTTGATGTCATCTTCAGGGAATTCATCAAAATGTGTTCTAATTTGGCTGGCCTGATTGCCTGAGTAGAAGTGTAGTTTTCAATCTTTGAACATTTTGTTGATCAAAGTGGGAACAGAGTGTTGGTTTATAACTTTTGACAGCTTCAGCAATGGCCCTTTCTGTCAGGTAGTGTCATGTATAGAGGACAGAGCAACAATCACAGCTGCTAGCCTTCATTTATTTTAATAAAGCACTTTTACACAGGTGGTCAATGCTAGAAACTGATCACATTAACCGTGACCAGATTTAGACCCTTGCATCTCAAGATCCTTTATAAGCATTGGCTCCTATGTTGATGACATTATTTTCATACTTAACAGGGAAATTATTTGTGAAGTTCATTACAAGATTGCTATTTTGTGCCTACAGCACTGTATTCACATCCTGAAGTGGAATTGTGCCCTTCTGCAAGTCAAGGAGTTTCTCCACATGTGTATTATCACAGAATTTCCTAATGTTCTGCAATACACGCACTAAAAACCCCCGACAAACCAACCAAAACAAAAAATTACAAAAGATTATATTTTAAAACTATTTCATTATACATAGATAGGGTAGATTTTGTGGTGATGATAGTAACACACACTTCCTCTTTGTGAGATATTTTGATTTATTACCGTACTAGCCTTGCATTATGAAGAACCTGGGCAATCTCTAATTAGTACATTTCCTCCAAAATACATTTTATGGAAAATTGCATTACAGATATTTATCCAAATTGCTTTTTAATATTTTGTAGGGAGTGCTGGAACACCTGTTATCTTCAACGAAAATGGAGATGCTCCTGGACGCTATGATATTTTTCAGTATCAAATCACCAACAAGAGTACAGAATACAAAGTAATTGGTCAGTGGACTAACCAACTTCGTCTAAATGTAAGTACTAGCTTGATTATGATGCTGACATTAGAGAATATTCGTTTGAATAATACTCTATTTCAAAACACTGCAAAAATATTGAAGATTTCTACTCTGTCAATTGACAGAAGATAGCTCTTCCATTCTCTTCTTGAAAAGACAGCAAAAGATACCACAATAACATGAATCAAATTCTTTATATTTTAAAGTATGTTGTTTTTTGTATTTACCTACTCCTTTAAATGATATTTTAAAATCATTATATACATTATATTCCTCAGACTGGCTATGAAGTTAGGCAGGGAAACAGTATCTCATCCTACAAAAGGGAATGTCAGACAAAATGATGGGTACATATGCATTGCCCAGATATTTCAAATAAAATGAGGATGAATATCATAGAATCATAGAACGGTTTGGGTTGGAAGGCACCTTAGAAATCATCTAGTTCCAACCTTCCTGTCATGGGCAAGGACACCTTTCATTAGACCGTGTTGCTCAGAGCCCCATACGACCTGGCCTTGAATACTTCCAGGGAGGGGGCATCCACAGCTTCTCTGGGCAACCTGTGCCAGTGCCTCACCACCCTCACAATGAAGAATTTTTCTTATATCTAGTCTAAATCTACTCTCTTACAGTTTAAAGCCATTACCCCTTGTCCATCATTCCATGACCTCGTAAAAAGTCCCTCTCCAGCTTTCTTGTAGGCCCCCTTCAGGTAGTGAAAGGCCACAATAAGGTGTCCCTGCAGCCTTCTCCAGTCTGAACAACCCCAACTTTCTCAGCCTTTCCTCTTAGGAGAGGTGTTCCATCCCTTGGATCATTTTTGTGTCCCTCCTCTGGACCCGCTCCAACAGGTCCATGTCTTTCCTGTGCTGAGAGCTCCAGAGGTGGATGCAGGACTCCAGGTGAGGTCTCACCAGAGGAGAGTAGTGGGGCAGAATCCCTTCCCTTGACCTGCTGGCCACATTTCTTTTGATGCAGCCCAGGATAAGGTTGGTGATCTGGACCAAAGTGTATTTAGTAAGAGAAGTTTGAACTCTAATGTCTGATTTAGTCGAAACACTGGGATGATGAACTACTTCAATGAAAAGGGAGAATTTTGAGTATTTCTGTGTAGTCAACTAGAATTAGCATAGTACCTTACTACCTAATAGCAGAAGAAACAATTCACAAGAACCCACCCATCCTTAGGAGGTGTTTCTAACTGCTGCCTTAAAATATTCTGCAAATTTTGCAGTAGTTAAGTCCCACCCGTGCATTGAATTATATTTGTTTCAAAAATTGCCACCCCAATAAGATTCAGGGAATATAACATTCCAGAATACTTGTATGGCAGCTAACAATCAAGTCACAGCTGTAACTTGAGAAGTTGTTGGGTCCAAGGCGCTTTCTGTCAGAAGTTGTCTCCATATGAGGAGAATTACAGTTAAGAGAAAAGAAAGCAAAGCTAACCTGTTTTCTTGTTAGTTGTGCAGTGTTTACAGGATTTACCTGAGATACATTAGCCATCTGGGTAGCTCTGCAAATCCGAAATATCGAGTGTTGTTTTGCGAAGGGCTGGTGAGAAGGGCAACAGTGTAAATTCACCAAAGGGAGTTTACTCAATGATTTTAATCAAACCACAAAAAGCAGGTTTCAAACATCTCTGGTTTTGCATGTGAGAAATTCCTGAAGAAGGGTAACAAAGACAGTGTAGTAAATATTTGCAAATTATTCTCCTGTTGAGATTACTTTGCAATAATTACCTGAGTGCTACCCACAGTAACACATATGATATCTTCCCATTTTCAGCCACAGCTGTTAAATCAACTACCATTTAATATCTATAACTGCTTGGCAAGGACTCATTTATTTAATTCTTCTGCCCAAATAGGAGAAAATCTACCAACAGAAACTGCATGTAGCAGATTGTGTGGCAGTGTTATGTCCCTCCAGTAACCTGATATCTGTCTGCTGAAATGCATGACAGGAAAAAAAATGGTTAATCAAGTTTAAAGATTAATACTAAATAGTAATTTCTGGAAAACACTAGAGTTAGACGCTTATCATAATTATTATGGCATACATTCCAGATCTTCATAATTGTTACAGTTTTCTGAAAAGTTAGTGTTTATTAAGTAAGATGAAAAACTGATACACACATTTTGCACAAGTGTTAGTACTAACAGAGCAGTTACATAGCTAAGGTAGCTAAAAGCTACCTCAGAATTTGTTTCAGTTCTACTTTCATTCCAATTTGCCTTTTTCAAACCTCCCCTAGACTGCTACATTTTTCATTAAGCCTGTAGTTTTTTAGTCCCATTATTTCTGCCTCATGTATGTGTACTCCAGGGAGTTCTCTGAAAAAGTGTTGGATATGCTGCTACTCAGACTACTGAAACCACACCATGCTAACCACATTGACCACAAAGCAAACAGGAAAGGATTTGTGTAAGGAGACCCCTTATTAACTCTCATTAAGAATAGATGTGTTAAGATGTTTCGCATTCATGGGCTCGTGCTGGATACAACCGGCTGTCCAAATTCGTGGGTGAGCTCTGTCTAGCCTGTGGAGTTGTGGAGATGTGAACAGGCTGGCACAATGCTCCGCAGCAAGCGTTTCTGCTCCTGCTCTCGTGCCATGGCCCCGCTCTCGTCGCACTGCCCCTGCTCTGCTGCACACCCCCTGCTCACACGGCCCAGGGTGCGAGCAAGCGCGCAGTGCTCCATCCCCCCATGCACGGTGCAACTGGATCGATTCAGCAAGTAGGAAGAAAGGCTTCTCTCCCTAGCTTTTACTCCTGTGTCTCGACTTACTCACCTTTAGCTAAAGGCTGGAGGACTGCTAAACGGAAGACTTGGCTTTTTTTGTTAAAGTTTGTCAGGGGTTGAGATGCTGGGTGCTGTTCTCCCTTGGTCTTTCCAGGTGCTGATGTGGTAACAATGAGGAAAGAAGTCGTAATAGGGGTGCTACAGATAGTTTCCATCTGCTTGTGTATTCAGAAATTACTTAAAGCATGTCAGTGGTAGTTACGCCGCAAGATGACCTGCTGTGGCAAAGCTGTTGCGTCCGCTCACTAGGCAATATGTACAAAACCCAAGCAGTCTTTGTGAATGATTGTCAATACTCCAAATCATCATACGGCAAATTAGGTAGTGCCTGTGACTGCCGATGGATCAGAGGGAACACCGTGGTTTTTCTCATTGGTTTCAGTGAAAACATCTATATTCATTGAAGACAAAGCAGTGTTAAGATGGCAGAGCGCCTTTTACCCTACTGTTCTATAAAGGAGATGCTTTTAAAATATAATATTTTTTCCCACTGCATCCTTCTTTCTGCTGCAGTTTCCTCTTAATGGATACACATGTAACTATGATTTTTAATGAATCTGTCAGTTAGATATCCTCTGTAGATATTTCTACTCCTATTTTTATAGATATTTCTACTTCAGATTGTGCAGTAACGTGTTGTAGCTACAACTGTGTTTATGATTGTGTTCGTCTATACAGCTGGTATATTGTTTCAGAAAATTTATATCTTTTATTCATTTATTTATCTTCTATGCCAGAAAAATAAATCATGAAAGTACTACATTTTTAGTACAGTTCAGCCTTTGGAACAATTAATGTAACTAAGATTAGAACATGTCTTGCATCTAAATAATTGAATCAAAGGGTTTCCTTTTTTCTTTCTGATTTTTTTCTCCCTTTTTTTTTTGTTTTCTTTTTCCTTAGGATGCTCTTTGATATTTTCTCTGTCAGTTTTTGGCTGCGGGTCAGTGTTGTGCATGCTATATCTCCTAATCCAGTGGCCAGCCCTGGTCCTGTCTCTGACCCCGACCCTGAGGATTCAGGATTCCTCTGCGGAGGTCTCTGGTTCCTCAAAGTTTTCATGGACTCTGCAGGATCCTTGTGGTCAAGCTTCAAACTTATTCCTTTCCTGGTGCAGTGCTGGCTTTCCCTTTTGGCAGAAAGTGCTGACTCTGGCTAGGTAAAGACTCTGTATCATGCTCCCTAAGGGGCTTTTTGTCAGCAGGCTTCACCATCTGCAGAGACCCTTCTGGCTGTGATGCTGATTTCTCCCTGTAGTCCTCAGTAATATTAATGCTCTCCTTTAGGCAGACTGACATTTCAGGTTTCCTCTGAAGCAGCTATAGCTTCCAGATATAGATAGGAACTTCACGATTACTGATCGGTACTACTCTTGCAATTCTTACAAAAAACCATGTGCGACAATGCTGAGAGATACAGTATAGAAGTTAAATTAAAAAAGAATTATGATATCCAAAATTTTAACTTTTGTGTAATTCTTGAGTTTGAATAAGGTATCTCAATCTTTGACAGATGCAAGGCAATTCTGAAAGCAGATATTTAGAAACGCTAAACTAATGTCAGAGAATCTGATTGCCTTTGATACAATTGTCAATTTACATGATTCTGACAATGTAAATTTACACCCCTATTAAAATCCTTTCACTCTCTAAGGTTGCTTAACTTTAAATGATCTTAATGTATTGGAAAGAACCAGACTCTCAAAATTTTTAGTATCACTTTGAAGGAAAAAATAAGTGCCGTAGAACTTCTGATCATTGACTACACATTAACTGTCAGGGATTCCTGTTGTTTCCTTTCCTCATTTTCTTTTCTTTATCAGTCGAATAAGATAACTTATTTTTCAGGAATCTCTGATAGTTGATATACTTTATTCCAAAAAATGTTATAGTTCTCATAATGAATATAAATCCAGGAAAAGGTAGCAGTTTCTGCAAAGGTTATGTTTTATTCATATTGCAATGGTATTTTGCATACCAGGTCACATGTAAAAGTTCCCTATAAATGTGTGGGTTTAGCAAATTTGAGCTCTCAACCATGTAATCTCTGTAGGTGGAAATTTGTTAAAAACAAGCTTGCTTTCACTGGCACTTATGATTTGAACTCAATTTTCTTTTATGATTAATAATGAATTCCACCTTAGAAACTGTGTTCTGTATTGCACTTGTTGTAATAAGGGCTAAATCAAGATGTTGACCAATGGT